CGGGCCAGTTTTGGCCCGCGGACCGGGGTTGCCAACCCCCGATCTAAAGTCATTTGCGCCTGTGCTAAGCGCCGGTACAGCTGCTGCGAAAGCGTAGAGAGCATCGACTGGAGCCGTTCGTTCATCACTGTTCACAGTAATACATTTTTATCGCAAATGAAACAATCAGTCTGCAAATGCGTAATTTTATAATTATGCTGTTTCATGTCATTCTCAATTCACTAGCATCTTCTCACAATCAATAGGAAGTCACTCGTGTTCATGTCCAGTTTTGTTCTGCTTTTTGATGTCTTGGTTTTTGGAAGAAGTCTCAGTTCTTGGCCACATAGGGTTTGGAATAACCCAGTTGAAATGCATTTTACATCAATATTCCAGACGATTTTTCCACTACCTCCTTTTCAGGCAGGTGCTAGAGGATTCACAAAGGCGGCTTCCCGAGCTGGAGGACAATTCGCTAAAAGGGTTAGTCAGTTGATGGAAGGTGTCGTTGTTCTTTTTAGGTTCACAAAATTCCGTCCTAGCACAGTTAACAAAAGGATACTCATTTCTGAACTGCTGAAAACACTGATTGTTCGGTATTGTGATAAGGTAAAATATGTCAACTGATGAGTTAAACCTGCAAAGCAATAAACTGGCCTCATTCTGCTATATCTGTCTGTCGACAAATCACAACACGATGTGATAATATCTGACAATAAGCAGTCGACGACCAGAGGTTTTTATGGGATTCACTGGTGGAATGAGTACGGTCAGTCAGGTGTCGAGGACAAAATCATAACTTAACGCTGTTTCACATTCAGTAGAGGGATTTTTGTGAGAAATTTATGGTTGGAGTCAGTCCTCACTCACTAAGCTTTTGTTGTGAATATCATACCCTTTGTAAAACATCGGATCGTATGCTGTGTTAAAAAGCTGGTTCCAGTTCACAAGCCTTGTATTTTAGAGGTTAACGTATCAGTTTGCGTAAGAATTAGATTTTTCATGAACGATTATTCTGGGGAAATCGAAATGTGCGTTTGACTGGAGAAACTTTTTCGAATCTGCTTAAACATGGAAATGTTGTAGTGGCTTTGCTCTCAGCCTTACCATTCTAATCTGCTGCCTATGGCCATTTTGGCCAATTTTTGATTAGTACGGTGATACAATGTTACGTCTTCAGCCACATTTGTATGCTTGTCTTTCTTTGGTTGTTATAATTGAATGATTGTCCGAAATGATTCAGGGCGGTGCTAGAGCGGCCCGTACTGCTGCTACGAATGTCGGGAGAGCATCGACTATGGTTCGTTTATCACTGTGAACAATCATAAATTTTTCGTCTCCAGCTGGAATAATCGTTCTTCAAATGCATAATTTCGTAGTTGCATTT